TCCTGCGTTTGGAGCCCTTAGTATAGCGTCCACAGTAAACGCATAGAATCGGTTCAGTAGAACTTCATACTTTTCGCTTTAGGCGGTTTAAACTGGGATGCAAACCAGAGGTTACCGTCTTATTCTAGTAGACTCTTACGAATTAACTTACCCTCTTTATCTAATCGTAGAACCATAATCAGTGGTGACGTGGAAAGTGCTGACTTGCTGGGTCAGCTAAATTTTCACGTACCAATAAGAAACACTAGATTCTTTTTACCATTAGTTTTTCTCCACTGTAGAACATCCTTTGAACTGCATTAACCCTGTGCAAATTATAATGATTCGTACACCATAACATCTAATGTTGACAGCCAAAACTAAGAACTTTGATCTTAACCCACTTAGTATGCATGCAAGCAACCAATCCGGCAGCACGCCAGTAGTATCAACATCTTGCAAAAAACAAAAAAATGATAAGGTATTTCGGTCCTGGGGATTTCAGGAGTTGTCCCGATGTAGCACCACAATAGGGGTCCTTACGTCTCTGTGCTGAACCGTTGATTAACTAGCAGCTTGTTGTTTGCTTTGCACAAGCACTTGCACTGGGAGTTGTTGGTAGCTTTTTAGAAAGATTTTCAAACTAAAAGTAAGGCGACCAATGATAGCATAAGACGGTAATAGTGATAAACGCATAATAATAACAACTTTGTATACCCTTGCAGATATTATTTCATTACATTTTACCTATACTTATTATGTTTACAGTTAGACAGTTACAGTTTTACATTCCCAGTTGTACATTTTCTGTACATCTATTTACATCGTTTCTATGGCAGCTATATGATATAGTTGTCCGATTTTTATGAAATTTATAGCAAAATTCTAAAAAAATAAAAAAAGCTTATATCTCAGAGTAGATCAAAATTCGTTGTAAAACAACGAAGTTATAATTTCTTTTCTATTAATTTCCCGATCGTTCCTATGGCAGCTATAAGATATAGTCGTCCTATTTTCATGAAATTTTTATCGAAATTCTGAAACAATATAAAATGGTGCAAAAATGTTGAAAAACAGACAAGTTATAATTTTTTTTCAAAAAATTTATCGATCATTTGTATGGGAGCTATATGATATAGTCGTCCGATCCGGCCATTTTATATTATTTCAGAATTTCGGTAAAAATTTCATGAAAATCGGACGACTATATCATATAGCTGCCATAGGAACGATCGGGAAATTAATAGAAAAAACATTATAACTTCGTTGTTTTTCAACCTATTTTTATCTACTCTGAGATATACGCTTATTTTATTAGTTCAGAATTTTGGTATAAATTTTATGAAAATCGGACAACTATATCATATAGCTGCCATATAAACCGATCGGTAGATGTAGAGAAAATGTAAAACTGGGAATGTAAAATTGTAACTGTCAAACTCTAAACAATAAGTATAGGTAAAATTTAATGAAATAATATCTGCAAGGGTATACAAACTTCGGCGTGCCGAAGTTAGCTTCCTTTCTTGTTTTTTGAAAGTTTTGGTGTTGAAAAATTACAATTTTAGTTAAAATTTACTTTTCAAAAAGGTATAGGGTAAGGTGGGGTAAAGCCGACCTAGTAAATGGTTTTGGCTATAAAATGCTTATTTTACATCGGATCAAGTCGTTATATATACCAAATTAAAGGTTAGACTTTTGCGCAACTTTCTATGCATTTTATTCATACCTTTGAAAGTTTTGAGATACAAGCGTTTTACGAAAAAGTTCATTTTTGCTATTTTCAAAAATGATGGGGTAAACCCGACCGCCTATGTTTTTGGTTGATTTTGTACAGATATAACCTAAATATAGGTTTTGCAATGATAAATCAATCAATGTTAATAAAAGATAATAGAATTAAAAAAATGAAAATAGCAAAATAATTAATCAGTATCGTCTGATTCGCTGCGCAAATAGCTTGCTGGCGTTTTTTGGTTCGAGTTGAACGTCTGGTTGGCTGCGATGTTGATGGTTTTGGTGTGATTGTTGTTTTTTTTTTTTTTATTTTTTTGCGGCTTCCGTTTACCCCACTATTTAGAGGTCGGATTTGCCCCACCACGTAATTTTTCATAACAACGCAATTAAGGGTCCATTCTGGTTAGTTGGGCCAAAAAATAGCCAATTTTCAGAAATTTTTTGTGGACAAACGAAAAGACATAGAAAGTTCAAACTTGTCACATATATTTATCATAGTTTTATTGCAAGACGTTGATGCACTATGTACAGTACATATCAAGTGGAACTTGCGACACCAAGCACGTGCTTGTTCTGTTAGTAATTAGTAAAACGCGAAGGACTTAAAAAAAAGGGTGCGGGGAGACTACTACTGGCGTACTGCCGGATTGGTTGCTTGCATGCGTAAGTAGGTTAAGATTGAAGTTTTTAGTTTTGGGAGGCTATCAACGTTAGATATTATTGTGTACAAATCGTTATAATTTGCACAGAGGACTCTAAAGGGTTCATGCAGTTCAAAGGATGTTCTACAGTGGGGCAAAACTAATGGTAAAAAGGATCTAGTGTTTCTTATTGGTACGTGAAAATTTAGCTGACCGAGCAAGTCAGTACTTTCCACGTCACCACGGATTAAGTTGTATATGAACTTAAGATGATTTAGCAAAATTTTCAAAATTTTTAGAGCATGTCCTGAAGCAGGACACAGGGCGGCGTAAGCCCATGCCCAAAAAAGGCACCCCTCTGGCGACCATTCTGCAGGACGTAAAAATCAACTGAAACAAAAAATTCAAATATGTTCTTGTTTAGTATTAATGTGGTTATGGAATAGGCTACTTTTTTCAAAATTGAATAAAAAATAAGACAATGGCGGCGCCTCAAAAATTTTTTTCGTTTTTTTGAAAAATTTCTGCACTTTTTTTTTGATTAAAAATCCAGCCCGAAAAATGTAGTTTTCCAGAAAACGCGTTTAAAGTTTTATGTTTCCTCTGTAATTGCTTTGAGTCGGCCGGTTCGGAGGCTCATAACTTTTAAACTATTACGTATTTCGATTTGATCTTTTAGTATGATATTCTCACCTAAAGCTATCAAAAAATGCAAAAAAATTCGTTTTTTTTTTTTCAACTAACCAGAATGGACCCTTAAAAAAGAAATTATGAAAAAAAATGAACCAGACTTACGAGGGTGGTCCGATAAATACTTAGCCTCAACGACTGAGGTGTTCCAAATCGGTTATTGATATTACTATCGATTAGAATATTCTTTTGGACGACTACTGTACAAATTTCAATCGAATCGGTCCCAAAGCTTTTTTAAAACCACGTGTGGAAGTTGGCAAGCTCGTGAATTTTAAGGAAATGGAAAAAGAGCAGTACCGATCGGTGATAAGATTCCTATTTTTGGAAGGGAAGTCGCGCTCCGAAATCAAAGAGCGCTTGGATGCTGTGTATAGTGACTCTTCTCCTTCGATGGCGACCGTCAAAAATTGGTTCAATGAATTTCAACGTGGTCGCATATCCGTTTTCGATGAGTCACGCCCAGGTGCCCCAAAAACGGCTAGTACGGAGGAAAATATAAACAAAATCCACGACCTCGTATTGGGAGACCGCCGATTGAAGGTGCGCGAGATAGCCGATACAGTAGGCATCTCAAAAGACCGCGTGGGCTATATCCTGCACGAAGTTTGGGGGATGAGAAAGCTGTCGGCGCGATGGGTGCCGCGTTTGCTTACTGCAGACAACAAACGTAACCGAGAGACCACTTCAGAGCAGTGTTTGACGCTCTTTCAACGCAATCCGAAGGAGTTTTTGCGCCGTTTTTTGACCGTTGACGAAACGTGGATCCACTGGTATACACCAGAGACCAAGGAACAGTCGAAACAGTGGACTTTACCTGGCGAACGTGCTCCGAAGAAGGCGAAGACAGTGATATCGGCCGGTAAGGTGATGGCCACTGTTTTCTGGGACTCACAAGGTGTGGTTCTCATCGACTACCTGGAGAAGGGCAAAACAATTACAGGGTCGTACTACGCTGAATTACTGGGCCGATTCGATGCCGAATTGCGGAAAAAACGGCCCCATTTGGCCAAAAAAAAAAGTTCTTTTCCACCATGACAATGCACCGGCACACACCTCCGCTCTCGCCACCGCAAAGTTGGTCAAATTGCGGTACGAACTGCTGCCCCATCCATCGTATTCGCCAGATTTGGCTCCGTGCGATTTTTTTTAGTTCCCAAACATGAAAAAGTCACTCGCCGGGCAAAAATTTCGATCAAATGCAGAGGTCATCGATGCCACGGAGGCCTATTTTGCAGACCTTGAAAAGTCATATTTTTTAGAAGAGTTAAAAAAGTTGGAGCATCGCTGGACTAAATGTATAGACCTAAAGGGAGACTATGTTGAAAAATAAATTGGCACTTTTCCAAAATTTTCGTTTTTCTTTTGTAGGCCAAGTATTTATCGGACCACCCTCGTATATGCACTTTGTAGCATTTTATTCAATGAATCTAAATCCACTTACCTTTTCATGCGATAACTTTGACAAAAAGAAATATCCTGCAGTTAATTATGCACAAAAATGAAAGTCAAAATTGTGAAAACCAACTTTTTGTCGTTTGACCATCTCAATGTTGACTAATAAAATGATGTCATACCACCATTTTCATTGTTTTTGATGCTCTACACGACAACACTAATATTAGTTTGCGTAGTGCTTCCGATTTTCGAAAACAGAGGGAGGTCGGGTTTACCCACACTGTCAGCTTTACCCCACCTTACCCTACATATATAAAGTCAGTCACACCTAGTCCCACTTTGATACTTGTTTATTTGCATATAATGAGAAATGCACACAACAACAATTTGTATGAAAATGCCAATTAAAACACTGTATTAACGCCTTTATACTCTTGCAAACTAATAAATATTTAATAAAGTTGATTGTATATAGTTATTCTGAAAAGATATACTGTTACATACCCCAGAATGGTTATAATAATGACATAAATAAAATAAATTGTATATTTGCAGTGGTTATAACCTTTGGACGTAACAAAACAAAACAAACAAAATAAAAGCAGTACCTTTTATTTTGTAATCTGAAATTTTTAAGTGCCATATGTTTTCTAAAACGTTATACAAAAATTATAATGAATAGCACTACATCGATGGATAATTTAGCTGACCAGGACTACTCCGAATTTCTCAGCGAATATTTTTTGCAATCAAGTTCACATTGCAATGAGCCTGAAGTTAATTACGAAGGTGTGTATGCCTAAAATGAATTAAAAAGTTCAATAATAAATTTTATTAATATCTTACACTTATAGATGGGGAAATGGAAGCAGAATGGTTGATATCCGCCGGTTATCCTGAGTTGACTAAGCCTTTTGAACAAGTAAGGGTATTTTAAATTTGTCGAAACATGAGTTCAATAGTTTTCCTCGTTCTGGTGATTTAAGAACAACAAAATCATATCCGTTCTGATGGCACAAAATAAAAAAGAAGCTATCTTCGGCACTCTGAAGTTTGTAAATTTATGCAGTTTGCAATGGCATCATTGATCCAAAATGTAACGAACGTTTTTATACGAGCAGACTTCTTGTACATTCAAATATTATCAAACATTTCTCCCAGTGTGGAACAAAAATCGAACGCAAAGAAGATCAAAGACAAACGTTTTGGGCCAATTTGGACAATTTATTTGGCTTTCATCTGAATTGTTATATTTTCTACTTTTTCTTTCCTACCAAAATCTCGTCTGTAGACATAATATCTGGCAAATGTGCAGACACTCTCTTTGTGACTCATTTAGTTTTTCCTCAATCCCGCGAGGAAAGCGCTTTCTCGCGTAGATTGATGAGGATGACTGTAAGGAATAAAAAAATCACATCTGCCGAAATCTGGTATCTTGAATAAGTCTTTAAGTTTAAATTGTCCAAATCCAATTTCTATCTTTCCGAATTGTCATTACTTTGTCTCATTCTTCTATCCGCTCCTCCTTTTGGGTGAACCGCTTAGTGTCGTCTGTTTTGCATTCGCCCTCGTCAGCTTTCCTCGATGCCCTTGGCTTGCGCGCTTAGCGCTGATTCAAATTGCCGTCGCTCGATTTTAGCGTTAAGGGGGTCTTCTCATTCAAAAGCCGTTTTTTGGACCCTTTTAAAAAAAATTCTTATTTGAAAACGCAAAGAATAATTGAAAACTTTTTTTATTTATTGTATTCAAAAATGTTCAAAGTAACTAAAAAAGTTGTTCTTGCCTCGATACGAGGGTTGTTCAAAGAGTAATGAGACTTCAAACTTGGTGGTCGAAAAAAAGGTGTCGTCCTGGCGGCCACGATTCAGGGTCTCCAGAGCGTCCGAAATGAAAAATAAAAACGGGGTTATAATCAGAATTGATGTCATTTTCGGGTGACGGAACAGATTTTTTTTTAAATTTTTTTAAACAAAATGGCGGCCATTCAAAAAAAAAATTTCGATTTCGGGCTTTTTTTTTGTAGTTTAGTGTAAAAAAAAAAAAAAAAAAATTTAAAAAAAATCTGTTCCGTCACCCGAGAATGGTGACAATTCTGCGTCGACTCCACTTTGTTTCATGAAAATCGGTTCAGTTGAACTGGAGATATCATGGCCGCCAGTTCGAAAAACGTGGTTTCGAGATAAACGCGTTTGAAGTTTGAAAAAGCTCATTTTGCGAAGAACTTGCTTCACAAAAAAGGCTGTATCTTCTAAAGTATTTCGAATTTCTAAAAATCCTTTTGGGGACATATACACACCATCCCAAGCTATAAATAAATGCAAAAAAAAAAAAATCGAAAAAAAAAAGTTGCCCAATGAGAAGACCCCCTTAAAGAAGTCTACAGGTCAAAAAAAAAAAACAAGAAAGGAAGCTAACTTCGGCACGCCGAAGTTTGTATACCCTTGCAGATTGGTTTTGATATTTATATTATTAATTTAAATGATGAAAACACACACAAAACATAGTTTCATTACATTTTACCTATACTTATTATGTTTACAGTTTACAGTTGTACCTTCCCAGCTTTACATTTTGTCTACATCTACCGATCGCTTCTATGGAGCTATATGATATAGTTGTTCGATTTTTATGAAATTTATACCAAAATTCTAAAATAATAAAAAAAAAAGCTCATATCTCAGAGAAAATGAAAATAATTGAAAAACAACGAAGTTACAATTTTTGTTCCTATTAATTTCCCGATCGTTCCTATGACAGCTATAAGATATAGTCGTTCGATTTTCATAGAATTAAAAAAGAAAATCTGAAATAATGTAAATTGGCCATATCTCAAAAATGGTGCAAAAATGTTAAAAACTGCCAAGTTATAATTTTTTTTCTAAAAATTTATCGAACATTTGTATGGCATATATAGCAGTGAGAGTATATAGAAGACTATATGCAAAGTTTCATTCAGATAGGTTTAAAAATAACGGACTAGTTTGTGTAGAAGCGGACAGACGGATAGGCGGATGGACGGACAGACGGACGGACGGACGGACAGACGGACATGGCTAAATCGACTCGGCTGTTGATGTTGATCAAGAAAATAAAGAGGCCTGCTCCGGTAATCGTAAAATTTTATCGATTTCGTGTTGGGCGAAAAGGAACCGTTTTCGTTGTTTGCTGCTCCGGTTTTCGGCAAATTTCTGCTATCGGAATGTTTCGATTTCTCATTATTTCTCACTGCTCAAGCAGCTAATAAGCAAACAACGTAAATTACTGTTTATTATACACTTATGGACAAAATAATAGGTGTGATTTTTTTTTGTTTTTTAACTTTTAATTTCTAATTTATTTCTTTATAAATCGTAACAAATCAAGTTTTTTTCATAACTCATAATATTTGTCTACATTTAAAAACTAAAAACAGCTTGTAATGCTACCATATGCCGAGGATAATATGCCACTTATATGGAAGTTCCAACAGGATAATGACCCGAAACACTCATCGTGAGTTGTAAAGGATTGGTTCCGGGAGCAAAATGTGGATGTTTTTGAGTGGCCAAGTCAATCCCCGGATCTCAATCCCATTGAGAATCTCTGGGGTGAAATTAAAAGAGAAGTTGGAAGGACTTTTTGCCAAAATATCGCTCAACTTTGGGATATTGGTACAACATCCCAGTTGAAACTTGTCGCAAGTTAATATTGTTCATGCCAAGACGAATGGAGAAAGTCCTAAAAAATAATGGCGGATATACCGGTTATTGACTGCCAATTAGTGATTTAAAACTGAATCAGGACCAAATTGATTGAAAAATCGATATAATTTGAAAATTAATCGTCCTACAACTATTATTTTGTCCAGCCAAAATTTGTGAATATATCTATAAAATAGTTTTTTTTATTTATTAGAGAGTTTGTTAAGCTGATTTTAGTTTTTAAATGTAGACAAATATTATGAATTATGAAAAAAACTTGATTTGTTAACATATATAAAGAAATGAATTAGAAATTAAACGTTAAAAAACAAAAAAAAACGCACACCTATTATTTTGTCCATAAGTGTATTTACAATTTCCCTTTTTATAAGCCAGAAAAAGGCAAAAAATGCTAGAGTTAAGTAAATCTAGGCATGTAAGATGCTGCCACGCTTTTCACAGTTTTAATTCCGTTGGTCTCAATTAATTATTTGGTTAATTTTGACCATTTAAGTAATCAAATTAAGTATCATTATTTATAAACAACATTTTTGACTCTCTTCTAAAGTTATTAATAAATTCAATTATATTTTATAAGTATGTTTACTCGGCAGTTGCGTTCCACCAACAATATGGCAGCCTTGGCGATAACTTTTTGCGGTGAACTTATCGACTTATCGACCTATCGCCAAAACGAGAAAACTGGTTGAACACGGCAAAAATTATGTTGTCAAATCTGAGGTGGGGTCAAAAATAAATTTAAAAAAAAATAACTACCTGCCAGAATGATCTTATGGTGGTGTGGAATAAACATCAATAGACCACTGAGTAAACTATTTTTTTCCTTTTGTAAATTAGATCTGATTTCATATAAAAAGAGCCATTTATTTTTCATTCCGGCCAGAAAAAGGTGCCCGTTTTTCAAATCGAAAAAATCTTTCGTTTTCGATTACCGGAGCACCAATTTCTCGTTTTCAAAATCGAAAACGAAAAAATCTTGCCGTTTTCGATTACCGGAGCAGGCCTGATAGACTTTATAGGGTCGGAAAGGTCTCCTTCACTGCGTTGCAAACTTCTGATAATACCCTGCAAGGGTATAAATATTGGTTTGCTAATAGAGTTCCTTTATTTCGAACTGAGCTCATATTAACCGCTCCCTTCTCATTGCAGTAAGCCCGAGACGATCGACCCTTCCGAAGTCGAGAGCTCCTCGGTCGAAAGGCGGAAACTTGTCCCTGTTAATTTTTCTTAACTTTCTCTGCACTCATTTCCCGCTGCCCAACAATCCCACCCATAGTTTTACCAACGCTTCCTAGATAGCGCCACTGCGCTCTAAAACAAAACGTTACAAAAAGTAACAGGCGAACTTTGTCTCGCCCCAATTTCACGACTTCATATAAACCCAGAGTAATAAAAAAACACTGGTAATTCAAATTTGTTGTAAAATTTTTTTGTTTCGAAATCAGTGGAGAGCGATGTGATAAACAATATTTTTTGTTTTGTTATCCGGTGCAAAAATAAATAATGATAACGGTTTTCCCACACGCGAACAGGCTACGTATAACTGCCCATGTGAAAAACATTGATATTCCAGATTTATCGCCCGACAAGCTGGCCATGAAGGAGGACATAAAACCCCTTTGTTTGCGGTTCGGCTCTAGCGAGGTCGCCTTGCCAACAAAGGGAAGGGCAATGAAAAAGTGGCCTTCAAGAGGAGCAGCAAGCTCCCCCGATCGCCCACTGCGCTGGAAACCATGGAGGATGGGCGGAGCCCTGAGTCAGGCTCTACGCCGCCTCCCCAGAGGACAAGGGATCACAGAGATCTACGCCTACAAAAATGATGGACAAGACGACGAGCCACATCACCGTCTCTACGAGGGAGCTATTTGCCAAAATGAAGGTCCTTTACGCGAGCATCCTTGCAGAGAGCAGAGCGGCAGCCGCGGGCGCCAATGAACTGCAGGAGAGCGAGGTCGGGAACAGTCTGTGCCCAAAATGCACCCAAAGCACACTCTGCACCAGCAAGGGCAGCAGACACCGACAGTTTGGAGGAAGGATGCTACTGCTCAAAAAGAGTCCTGGCGGAGTCTTAGCCAGACAAATGGGCCGGAACTACCCGCACTTGCGTCTGCCCCTACACCAACCGGCGCAGCGCAGCAGGGAAGCGCGAAAGGGCCCAAAAACAACCGAAATAAGCCCCAAGGATCCCATTCAGAGCCCGTGTAGGCCCCCATTGCTGCCC